CCAATTAATTAACAAAAAAAAACCAGTAAATTACAATGTACAAGAGGATTTAGGAGAGAGAGAAAAAAAAAAGTTTTAAAACACAACCCTTCCCTCTATAAACCGTCAATTAACAGCCTAGCCACTTCGAGTCTATCACGTAAAGCTGATTGTTTAGAAACAGTTCGACTCTAGTTCCCTTTTTAAAGATGCTTTTCAAAAAAAAGTTTCATGCGGCAAAACGGTTAAACGTTCTCTCCTTTCTTTTATTGTCGATGTCCACGCGACAGGACACGCGACAGTTAGCCTTCGATGCCTCGTTGGACCTTCCATTGGACATTGGATCGATACGCCTGCTGCGACAATGTAACGCGACATTCGCATTGTTGCGAACGAGACCCCCGAACATTCGAGCGGAGAAATTATCGTTAACCACTCCATGCTAAGGGACAATTGGCAACACTGAGCAACACTGAGTCGTTGGTTATATTGGCAATTATGATTCGATGATTAGATTAATTGAGAATCGTACGTAAATATCGTAAGTAGGGTTATTTGAATGATAAATAATAATTATTAACGAATAAATTTTTTCCGTAATTGAATAATTCTGTTTAAATAAGGTTATTTTTATTCAAGATGATAGAGTTTGTATATTTCTTCGCGATCGATTAATTAATTGTATAAAATGGATAAATAAAAATAATTTTTCAGGATATAGTTGCAAGTATAATTTTAGATTTTCGTTATTGCTGTTTACAATAGCGTTTGAATACGTGACTTCTTGATCGGTGTGTTTCCAAGGATTGACCGATGTTATCAGAGCTTCGTGAGAATATATAAAGCGTAACACCGAGTGCACAACAATGTTAGTTTTCAGTAATTGAAGTAATATAGAATTTAACACGAATATAGCCATGTTAGATAGTCACTTTATTTATGTGAATCTTGATAATTTAACAAAGATAATCTCTATAACAATATAATGAAAAATAAAAGGATAATATTATTTCTCTGATAATTCAATATCAGATAGATATAATATGAATCAGAAATAACTATTCAGCTTCGTTTTGATGAAATAGACATTACTGTGAATATTCAGAAAAATAAAAAATAATATTATTTTAAAGTGTAATAATTCTTCATCTAAAGAAACTAATAGATAGTTGAAATTAAGTATATATCAGTGTCTGAATTATTTTTATAA